TTATTTGACAGAGAGACAGCGAGAGAGGGAACACAAGCAGGGGGATTGGGAGAGGGAGAAGCAGGCTTCTGGCTGAGCAGGGAGCCCGATGCGGGGCTTGATCCCAGGACCCTGGGACCATGACCTGAGCTGAAGGCAGACGCTTAACGACTGAGCCACCCAGGCGCCCCAGATTGTAGATATCTTAACATTCTATCCCTAATGGCTCAGCAGGCATTTCTTCTTTGTTTTTCAAGATTTTATTATTTATTTATTTGAGAGAGAGAGCATGAGCTGCGGGAGAGGCAGAGGCAGAAACAGGCTTCCCCACTGAGCAGGAAGCCCAGTGCGGGCTGGATCCCAGGACCCCGAGATCATGACCTGAGCTGAAGGCAGATGCTTAACTGACTGAGCCACCCAGGCGCGCCCCCCCCCAGGATATCTTTTGTAGCTGTACCCCCCCTCCCCAAATCAGGATTCAGTGAGGGTTCATATGCTTAATTGGTTGTAATAACGAAATTATATAGTAACTTTCATTCCAGAAAGTTCTCCACCATCAGCCCCACCAATCCCTTTTTCTGTTTTCTCAAAATTGAATTTTTGATGGAACAGCCCAGTTGTGCTTACAGATGTCCCACATTCTGTATTTGTCTGATTGTGTTCGTTTAATTTGTTCCTCTCTGTTTCCTGTAAGCTGAATGTTAGGTCTAGAGGCTTCATGAGATTCAGTTTATGAAATTTAACAGGGAGGCTCCACAGGAAATGTTGTGTACTTCCTAATGCATCATATCGGGTGGCACCCAGTGTCGGGGTGTCCCATGATTGTGGATGCAGAGTTTCTTTACATGGTTAAGGTGGTGAGCACCACATCTCCACACCATAAAAGGATATTTCCCCCTTGGCAGTTAGCAAGTAACCTGTGGGGGAATGTGCTGGAGCCTGCCAAGATCCTGTTAACCTTTCACCCTAAGGTTTGAACATCCATTGATAATTGCTGCCTGAATCAACTAGTATAGTTAGCATTTTCTGGAGCTTAATTTGGCCAGAGCTTTGCTCATAATAGTTCTTCCCACAACTCCAGAAAAGTTAGCAAATGAGCTACTTGGAGAAGCTAAGCCCCATTGTCAGTTTCTCAGACAAGTGTTAAACTCTTGTCTACCTACACCCGACCCCGTGTGTCCCGCCTTAAACTAAGCGCGTGTGCTGTAACCACACGGCTATTACCACCAACAAAACATGTTGTGCACCATTCTGAGCATTTTGTGCAATTACTTTTTTTTCTTTTTTCTTTTAGATCTTATTTTTAAGTAATCTCTACACACAACGAGGGGCTTGAACTCACAACTCGGATATCAAGAGTCGCAGGCTCCTCCGACTGAGCCAGCCTTGCGGCACTGTGCGATTATCCTTTTTAATCCTCAAAATAATCTCATTTTAAAAAGGTGAGGAAACTGAGACCCTAGGGGATTAAAACACTGGCCCCAAATCGCACAGCTACTTAGGGAATGGAGCCCAGGACGCGACGCCAATGGCTCCACTCCTACCCCGCCCGCTCCTCCTCCCCCTCCTGTAACCACCATTGAGTCCAACTGCCCCGCATTTGGTCAGTGTGCTGTAGTGCTCTCACAGACGCAACCTTATTTTAATTTTCCTAACTCTCAAGAGGTAGGCAAGAAGATGCCCATTTAAGAGACTTCGTGTGGCTCAGAAAAGTCCAAGCATTTTTCCCAGATCGCACATCGATCTTGGGAATGGTCAGAATTTGAACCCATGCCTATCTGGCTTCGAATGCAGACCCCTGCTAGGTAGGGTTGGGTCTGTAACGAGCTTAACTGCTGGCTTTTGGCAAGTGTCTGGGCAGGTACGAGGGGCCCGCACCTTGAGAAGCAAGAAACCCCTCCCCGCCACTGTCCCGCAGCGAAAACAGCCAATCCACCTGTCCCCGTCCCCTCACGCAGTCGCCGGGCATGCGCCGTGAAGCCACCCTCCCCCGCTCCGAACATTCCCCTTACAGGCTCCGCCCATCACCGTCCAAGGCCAATCCCCGGGTGGAGGGCGGGGCCACTACGGGAGGGGGCGGTAGTTAAGGGGAGTCAGGAGCCTGGAGTCGTGCGCCGGAGTCAGAACTGCGTCTCCCGACCCAGGCGCCGGTCGCTGAAGGAGAGCGAGCGAGCGAGCGATGCTTCCGTCGCCGTTTCCTGATTGGCTGCGCGTGGATCCCTCTTCGTTCTGATTGGCAGCGGGTAAGCTAGGTATGTAAATGAAGTGAAGGGGCCTGAGGAGAGAAGGGAAACCCGCGGTGGGGTCGTTTGGCAGGTTCGATCCCCGGGTCCGACCGGTGAGCGCAGGGGCTGCCCGGGATCGAGATGCGCGGGCTCCTACGTGCCGCCCGGCCGGGCTGGGTGAATCACGCCGCAGCCCGGGAAGGGGGCGGAGGCGCCGGCTCTCTGGCTCCGGCTGCGTGACTCACCCGCCCCCGCCGCCGCCGCTTCGGGAGGAGCCGCCTCCACTGCCTGCCGGAAGCGAGCACGGGCCGAGAGGGCAAAACAGCCCTCCGGGGATCCCGGCCCGCACGGCCCTGGGGGGCAGGCAGGAGCGACAGCCAGGGCATGGGGCAGTGTCGAGGGTCCCGGGGTCCGAGGAGCCGGATCCCCGGGGAAAGCCGTCCTGGTGCCGCTAGGGGGCGCCGGGACCGGGGGGCGGAGTTCGGGTGGGGGCTGAATTCTTGCGGTTCTGGACTCCCTGGTCTTCAGGGAAGGAGGCGAGGACCCTTTTGAGTAGTGTGAGGGGTCACTCTTAAGGTCCTGTTGGGCAAGGGCCCGGGGACTGGATCCTGCAAGCTTCCAGACTCAAAAAAGCAAGTTGGGCCTGGAGTCCAGAACTCCAGGAGCTCCTACCCCGGGGGAAGTGTGGGTCCTCAAAGTTCTCTCAGTGACCCCCGGTGCCCGTCAGGATTTCCCGGCAAGCTCTATCTACTCTGCCTCCCAGATAAATCCTGAATCAACCAACTTCCTTCCAAGTCCACTGCCAAGCACCTTCTACTCCAAGCCACCATCATCACCCTCCCCAGAGTGCAGTAGCCTCTGGAGCTCAGGACCACGCTCTTCCTCGGTCTCCCTTCCTTACCCCCTCATCTTCCTCGAAGCAGCAGAGGGGGATCTTCTGGAAACCTAATCATTTCACAACGCCACTCTATTCCCTGCTCAGACTCCTTCAATGACACTCACAGTGCAATCCAAACTCCTTGCCCCTGCTTGCTCTCCAAACCCCATCCCCTCCCGCGTCGCTCTGTGCGCTGACCACACTGGTGTTTGGGGTTTGTTTTTTCGTTTTTGTTTTTGTTTTTTTTCAGTTCAAGCTCATCTAGCCTCCAGGTCTTTCTTTGCCTTTGTTGTTCTTCTCTCTTCCCTGAATGCTTCCCTGGTTCTTCTGTGGCTGACTCCTTCTGCTTGAGGGCTCAGCTCAAATGTCACCTCCTCACAGGAGCCTTCCCTGACCACTCCCCAGAACCTCTTAGTATCTTCCTAGCACCATCTGTATATTTCCTGTATTTATTTGTCTGATGGGTAGTAGACACTCAATAAATGTTAAACTATGTGAAACAGCTGCTTTCATGGGTTAAAAAAAAGGTTGAATATTGGGCATTTCACCTGGTTTGCTGAAGAAATACATAATAATAGCTATTAAGAGGACTTGTTAATCAGAAGAGTTACAGTGTTATAAGTGCTTTTTTGTACATTATCCCACTGATTCCATAAAACAACTCTATGAAGTAGATGACTATTATCATTCGTATCTTAAAGTTTTCCTAAGGGGGCGCCTGGGTGGCTCAGTTGTTAAGCGTCTGCCTTCGGCTCAGGTCATGATCCCAGGGTCCTGGGATCGAGTCCCACATCGGGCTCCCTGCTCCACGGGAAGTCTGCTTCTCCCTCTCCCACTCCCCCTGCTGTCTTCCCTCTCTCGCGTTCTCTCTGTCAAATAAATAAAATAAAATATTAAAAAAAAAAAGGGGGCGCCTGGGTGGCTCAGTTGGTTAAGCGACTGCCTTCGGCTCAGGTCATGATCCTGGAGTCCTGGGATCAAGTCCCACGTCGGGCTCCCTGCTCAGCAGGGAGTCTGCCTCTCTCTCTGACCCTCTCCCCTCTCATGCTCTCTATCTCATTCTCTCTCTCAAATAAATAAATAAAATCTTTAAAAAAAAAAAAAGTTTCCCTAAGAAAGCATAGGCTCAGGAAATTAAATGGTCTGCCCAAGATCCCACCAGACATCAGTTCTCAGAGCCAGGGTCTGAACTTCACGTTGACTTTCTATAACCGAATGACTCCTCCCTCCCTGCAGATGATGCTGAGCAAAGGTCTGAAGCGCAAGCGGGAGGAGGAGCAGGAGAAGGAAAGCCTGGCAGTGGATGCCTGGTGGCTGGATCCCAGCCTCCCAGCAGTGGCACAGGCCCCCCCGGCCGCGGCCTCCAGTTCCCTCTTTGACCTTTCGGTGCTCAAGCTCCACCACAGCCTGCGGCAGAGCGAGCCGGACCTGCGGCACCTGGTTCTGGTAGTGAACACGCTGCGGCGCATCCAGGCGTCCATGGCGCCCGAACCGACCCTGCCACCTGTGCCCAGCCCACCTGCGGCCCCTTGTGTGGCTGAGAGCCTGCTGGCCAGCTCCGACGCCGCCCTCTCGGCCTCCATGGCCAGCCTGCTGGAGGACCTCAGCCATATCGAGGGCCTGAGCCAGGCCCCCCAGCCCTTGGTGGATGAGGGGCCCCTAGGCCGCCCCACGGGGGGATCCCCCCCCAGCCTGGGTGCCTTGGACCTGCTGGGCCCAGCCACTGGCTGTCTGCTGGACAATGAGCTTGAGGGCCTGTTTGAGGACATAGACACCTCTATGTATGACAGTGAACTTTGGGCACCAGCCTCCGAGGGCCTCAAACCTGGCCCTGAGGATGGGCCTGGCAAGGAGGAGGCTCTGGAGCTCGATGAGGCCGAACTGGACTACCTCCTGGACGTGTTGGTGGGCACACAGGCCCTGGAGCGGCCGCCGGGTCCGGGGCGCTGACCCCCACAGCGGGGATGATGGTCTGGTGTCCAAACTGAGCCTGGTGGCTGGACCAACTCTCCTTGGAAAGACACAGCTGGCTTCCCTAGAACAGAGAGAGGGGCTTTGGAGAGACAGAATCCAGTCCTGAGCCACTCCACCTCCGTCCTCTTGTCTAGGACTCATGAGGGGAATCTGGGATTGGCCCTGGGGATGGGAGGATAGGGCCTGGTGGCTGGAAGGGGATTAGGACCAGGCCCTGTGCTGGACTGAATCCCCAGGCGTTGGATCCTGGGAGACGCTTTCCCCTGATGTGGGAAGAGACCGCACCATTTTATGGAAATTAAAACCAGTCCTGGGAAATTTCAAGTCTGTGTGCTTTGTCTCTGGGCTAAGGCAAGGGTGACCTAATAACCTCCAACATTTAGTGAGCGGGGCCTGGGCACCTGGCACAGTGCTGAGCACTTATGAAGTGTGTTAACTCTTCCCATCCCCCAAACAACATGGGTATGATTACTATCCCCACTTGACAGCCCAGAAACCTGAAGCTCCAAGAGGTCATCACTTGAGGAAGTGGGTTTCAAACTATGAACTTCACTGCTTTATATTGGTCTGATAAGCAGATCAGTTAGCTCTGGTAACTGGCCCTCTAGAAAACCCCCAGAACGTACTCAGCCAGGTTTCCCTGGTGTGCCCAGTGTGTACATAATGGTGGTGGTGGTGGAGCCCCAGGTCGCTTGAAATCATGTCCTTGTGCCTGGAGTCTACCTGTGTATCTTGGGGCTGGGGATAGGGGCAAAAGGGAGCTTTCAGAATGAGCCAGAAAGAAGAGCCCAAAGCTGGAGGCTGGATGGAGCCTCTCCAAAGAGCATGGAGAGCCAGCTCTCCAGGGGAAAGACAAGGAGACTCCAGCAAGTTAAAAAAAAAAATCCACTCGGTCTCAAATCTGTCTTCGGGCAGGGGATAGGGCAACTTGGAGGGGGACTCTGAAATAAAGCCACCGGGTTTAGTGGCTTGACCGCAAGGCAGGCGGTCCTGCTTTCCTTCTAGAAGAAACCCAGGACCCTGGCGAGCCGGCGAGCCGGGGTCACCTGCGCGACTGCCTGTGTGATCGCGCTGGCCCGAGCGCCGGGTGTCTGCCGCCCCCGCGGTCCAGCCGCATTCCTGGCCGGGCTGGGAGGGGCCGCACACTCAGAGGCCTGGCACGGGACCCAGGCGGCGTCCTTCCTGGCGGCCGTGGGGGCAGGGCAGCGCCCCGGGTGC